AAAAAAATATTAGTCTGCATATAAATGTTATAAGTAATGATATTTCCTCATCCCAGAAATTTAGAGAAAAAAAGTTAAGTCTATCAAACATTTCTGCTCAAAGTGTTCATGTTCATATCCTGCTGTATAAATATAGATTTCTGGGAAGATTTGAATTATCCCCCTTTGACTGAAGAACTCCCTGGATATAACATAGATGCCATCTTGCCAGGATTCTAGCAACCTGTTCTCTATGTATGTTTTTGAGCTGAATAAAGCCTTAAAATAAAAGTTATAACGATTTATTCAGCTCAGGTTTTTCTATAAACATGGAACACGTCCTTTGCCCAGAAAAGCTTGATGTTGACCTGACTTCACTGGCTGCCGATAAGGAATATCAATATTGGCAAAGAACATTTGAGAACTTTATTGAAGAATGCAGCGACAGAGCTACTAACAAACTATGCCAAGCATCTCTGAATATTTTGTTGATGCAGTAAGTTATGAAGAGGCACTGAAAATTCTAAACAAGATTTTTATAAAACAAAAAAATAAGATATTTGCTAGACACATTATCACTACAAGATGCCAACAATCCTTGCAAAACACTACTTCAATTTCTTTGTGAAATTTACAAACTGAGCAAAAACTGCATACTAAAAGCCATCATAGCGGAACAGTATCATGAAGAATTAGGGAGGAATATGTTCATTAACAGACTGTATTAGTTAAATATATGCCAGTGCTTAATGGAAAATGTAAGTCTAACTCTTTCTGAATCTTATGATCAAGAAATGGCCATGGACCTTGTACAGTGTAACTTGGAGGCCTGTGTAACTTGGGTTCTGTTGTACAGTGTCGGAATACCCAGATTTAAGTAATGTGACACTTAATTATGTGTCAGCTGCCACTCAAAATAATGATGTAACTGTTGTGGGTGTAGCTCCAGTTAAAAAACAATGTTGGTTTTGTGGCGGCAAACTTCATTCACGTACAAAATGCCTAGCAAAAGATAGTGATTGTTCTTCATGTGGAAGAAGAGGTCACTGCCCAGGTTTGCCAAATCAAGAATAAAAGGAAGGTCACTGCAGCAATATTGTCTCCCTCTCTCTGTCCTCCTTTTGCTGTGGTTCCCCATCGTTTGAATTCTTCTGCTGTAGAGTGTGTATGAAAATAGAGTTGCTAGTCTTATTGACTCAGCAAGCTCTGAAAGCTTTATTGAAGAAAAAAAGTTGCCCAAAGACTCAAACTCCCCATTAGCCCACTTATACATTGTGTTACACTAGAACAATCTTCTTGAAAGGCATCTGTCACTGGTGAGTGTAAAGTGAATCTGGAGATATGCCTGAAGGTTCTTGAGGATCTCTATAGTGATGTTTTATTAGGCCTGGACTTTCAGTGACAACATTCTTCTATTACAATTGTATATTATATACCAGGATTTAAAGTTTCTAATGCAGAAGATAATTCTGTTTGCAGTTTAGCAGCAGCAGATTTAGTTGAAATTCTATAGTTCGCAAACATACAAAAAAATGCTAAACCTATAGCTGCTAAGAAAATTCAGCCCCACTGACTAGAATTTCATTAGTCGAGAGGTTCACAGGTTGCGCTTTGAGGGAATCATAGAAACAAGCACTTCTCCGTAGCATGCACAAACTGTTGTAGTAAAGGATGACTTGAAGGCCCATAAGAAATGAATGTGCATGGACTATTCAAATACTGTGAACGTTTACACTGAACTGAATAAACCTTACCCAACATTGAAACAATGGTCAACAATCTTGCAAAGTATCAAATATTTTCTACCGTCGACCTTAAGAGTGCCTACCATCAAATCAGAAGACTCTGACAAACCATATATGGCCTTTGAAGTAGATGGTAAGTTATACCAATTTATTTGTGTGCCTTTTAGTGTTACAAATGGTGTTGCAATTTTTCAAAGGGCCATTGACAAATTTACTGAGGAAGAAGAAAGTTTAGACATTTTATTATCTGGACAATATTGTGATAGGTGGACGAAACCAAAGGAAACATGACATTAATTTTGAAAGATTTGTAACTGCGACAGGGAAAAGGAAACTGACCTTTAACAAATCAAAGTCTATCATATCCACTAGATCCATTAACCTCTTGGGGCACAACCTTGAAAATGGACAAATTAAATTGGAGCCAGAAAGATTGAAACCACTGCTGGAGATTCCACCACCAATTATTCATTCGGACATGCAACATATACTTGGCATGTTTGCATCCCTATGCGAAGTGGATTTCACAATTTTCAGATAAGGCGTGTCCCCCTCTACAAAACAAGACCAATGTTTAAGATGAGGTAAAAGCCAGAATTTTGAATTCTAATTTTCAATGCAAGCAGGCCCTCTCTGTTAGGATTGAGGAAACAGCCTTCCTATATACTTTACCTCCAATTTGACCATGGGCTTTTATTTAATAAAGTGATTGGAGTTGTAAGCCAATAAAAAATATAAATAACTGAAGATTGTCTAATTTTTATGGTTATAGTGTTGTTTACATTTGTTCCTAACTGATCACAGAGTGTTCAAACATTGATATTGCAGATCAATTTCATAACAAAATAAACAAATTGCAAGTCCAAACTCGAAGATCCAGTGGCAGAAAGAAATGTCAGAATCACAGGTCAAATGTCAAAAATCCCAATACACGTAAACAGTCAGAAATCCAACATGCAAGCCAATGGTCGAGGTAAAAAAATAAAACAACTTCCCAATTCAAGCACACCAACTGTTTTATCAATGGAACAATTTTTTTCATTGGTCGACAGGTGGGAGAGGACACACAATATTAGCATAACTGAGATGCATTTATGGCAACACCCGCAACTGACTTGTTTCTATTTTGGTTATTTTGTCTTCAGCATATCATACAGAACACATGTGCCCCCTTTTCTTGGTAAGTGACTTTCTCTTTTGCCACATTAAGTAACATTGTGCTTGACAGATAGCAAGTAAAGTAATATGTAAGATTAACATATGGAATATAATAAATATAATAAAAAAAATTAGTCATATTTTAAATAGCTTCATCAGATCAAAACTTTGATATGGATACCATGTATGGCACTAAACCCATTCAGAAATATATAAACTGTCAACTATATACAACTGCTTTCCAAGATTATGCTTTCAATGGTTAAAATGGCTATGAGAAACCTATAGGTTTTAATGAGATCTATGGTACACAGTGAAAACTACATTTCTTCATACCTTGTAGACTGGTGCAAAAGAATCACAAACAATGAACTGTACCAAATAACAGAAACCACATCACTTGAGGACTTTAAACAGTAGCAACAGCTGAAATGGATATCACGTGTAAACTGAAGAGAGAACAGTGACGTAATAAAGATGTTGACACTACTTCAAACAAATGGTTAGGAAGAAAGCACCCACTTCACACACATCATCAATACTGGAAAGAATGATAACAGTGACTTGAGAAACTTATTTTCCTTAAAAATTGTTTTAAGTGAAAAATTTTAGTTGATAGTAGCACTAGCTGCTAAATCAATGAATGTTGAAGGTTTCCTTATAAGGAAACAATTACCATTATTACCATTCTCTCTCTTTTTTTTTAATATACTAATAGGAATACTTGCCTTATTTACATTATTCAGACTGTTATCCTCATTTTCATTGCCATATTCACAACATTTCGGCTGTTGTACACTCTGGTCTTCTTCAGGTGACCAGAATTTTGAACTGAACCCTTTATTTTGTCTACTGGAGTAGATTGTTCGAGTTCCACATGCCATGCCTCTTCCAGATTTCTCAGTTATTTGTGCTCAAGGACACATGACCCAGTGGATAAAGACATTGGTTAGATCCAGTGACTAGAACCAAAGAGTTGTGAGTTCAATACCAGGCCACAGCAGTGGTGAACCAAAAACTTGGAGAATTGAGTTAAAGGGAAATAATTGAAATATCCGGAAGAGGCATGGCACATCAAACTAGAACTGGACAAAATAAGGGATCTGGTTCGAAATTCAAATCACCTGAAGAAGGCTGGAGTGTACAACACTTGAAACATTGTGAACATGGCAATGAAGATGAGGACAACAGTCCTAATAATGTAAATGATGCAAGTAATCATAATACCTCATATCAGAGATATAGACAGATAATAGAGAATACTTTATTCCTATCATGTTGACAAGAAGGAAGAGATTTATGTCTTGTGAAAATGATATTAATCCACCACTGATATCAGTGATTGTGATCAGAATCTTAAACTCAGTTAATTCTATTCTTAAGGCTAATGCCAACAACTCTAATCTGAGTTTCTGGTAAACACTGGAGAAATAGTCATTTCAGAATAACAAGAGAGATTATTTACAGTCAAACTATTATTCTTATCATTGTTGTTATTACATGTTTCAGTCACTGTGCTCCCCAGCTTTCTTCAGGTGCTTGCTGATGCAGGTAACCTACAGGGAATTTTGAATTGAACCCTAATTTAATCTACACCTTGTGTACATTGAGTCTGAGTCTTAGTCTTAGGAGATAATAGCATAATAGATTAAAGCACCAGTTTGTGAATTTCATGATGTAGTAATTGTGAGTTCAATTTCTGGGCCAAGTAGTACAGACTTAGACTCAGTAGAAACAGAGTAAGCAATAACTGAGCAGTACTAAATAAAAACAAGATCTTAGACATGGTCAGCAGGATCAGAACAATCTATCCCCATAGATTAAATGAAGGGTTCAGTTCAAAATTCACTGAAGGTTACTTGGATTGACAAGCACAATGGCCGAGATGAAAATAATATGTGAAAATAATAACAAAGATGTGGATGTCATTTCTGTTGTAAATAGTAACTCCACATTCCAGAAATTCAGAAAATAAAAAACATTTGGGATAAGTTTAATGCTTCATGCCTAATAAAAAAATAAATCCAGTATTCATGCAACTTTTTCAAGAGATAATAATTATCAAATAAACAATAAGCATTCAATTTTTTAAAAAATAAATTAAAAAATAAAAGTTACCATTTAATCCACAGTGAGAATGGTTTTCTTTCCGGACATGCTTGATTTCATTAAAAATTAAATGAGGCAACTGAGAATTTAAAGCTGACTTTTCATGAGTTCGTTTCTTTTGAGGCTGAATTAAATATTTCTCACCATTAAAAATAAAGTGTCCTGTCTGAAAAGAGATTTAAAAAAAAAAAAAAAAAAAAAAAAGATTAGTATCATGAATATACTGTAAATAAATAACAGTCAGACAGACAATATATCTTTTAGAAAAAAGTGTCTCAAAATAACACAGGGTCAGACAACCTGGCATCAATATCATATTCAAAATGCTCATTTTTCAACAGCTTTAAATGTAGGTGTGAGCACGCACCAGAACAGAATTTGAATAAAGTACTTTCTTCACATGGGTTGGCCATGAGATTTTTTGATTTAATTTTTAGTTTAACAAGCGGGTCATTTAATTACTGTTCATTTCATTGTACTTATTTTTATTCCTTTTTATTTATCTTTTTAACTGTTTCACTCCAAACAAGGAAATAAAGCCACAAAAGACACAAGGAGTTATGGATGTGAAAGAATAAAAAAAAAAAAAAAAAAAAAACATTATTAGAGAGAGAGAGAGAGAGAGAGAACAATAAAAGAACAGGAATTAAGACAGGTGATGATGATTGACATTGCATTTACATTTCCAAAGCTCAAATTTGACTGGAAAACAAGCCAGAAGAGAGTTCCACAAGTGAAAACTCAAAACAAATTCCTACTGTCAAAATATACATATAGGTATTGATTATGTTTTTTTATTCCAAGTAAGGAGATAAAGCCACTAAGATGCAAGGGGTGGGGTACTGAGATTGAAAGAAACTGAGAAAAATCATTATTAAAGAGATAGAACAATAAAAGAATATGATTCAAGGAGACAGAAGATGACGATTAGCATTGCATTTACATTTTTGAAGATCAAAGTTGATCAGAAAGCAGGAGGCTAAAAGAGTTCCACAAGCAACAAGTGTAAGACAAAAACTATTGACAGTTAGAGAGTTGTGTCCCTTTAATTGTTTCTATCTGTAGAAGATGGTGTAATATGAAAACAATCGCAGTAATCAAAACTTGGGAATCCAAAATTTCAGGATTTAATTTCTAGATCCAGTCTGGAATGTTTTTAAGCTTCTTATACTTTTCTTCCTTTACAAGTGAACAAATTGTGATTTAAATTGGTGATTAAAAAATACTTTATTTAAAACAAGCAACTGATTTAAACAAGTTAAATTAATATAGAAAATAAATTTTATAGTAATTTTATCACCAGAATCTATCTTAAATATTTATCAGTCTACCATTTGTCCATGCTTTGAATATTGCTGTCACATCTGGTCTGTTGCTCTTGCTTTATATTTGGGGATTCTTGATAAAATCCAAAGAAGAATCTGCAATGTCATTGGTCCTGATCTAGCATCTCAGCTTCAGTCACTTTACCACCGCCATAATGTAACTTCCCTGTGTCTTTTCTATAAATACTTTCATACTAAATTGTTCTGATGACCTTTCCTCTATGGTACTTACCTGGTACAGGAGTTAATTTTTGTGCTGGAAGTGGAATAAAGGTTTCTTATTTTAGATGGGAGAAGATATCTAGTCACAGGGATTCCAATTCTATGGCATCACCTTCCTCACGTCAGTAGGAGTAATAAGGTCAGTGTAATATCGATGTCAGCATGACTGTGGTCATGAGGACTGGGCAAAATTTTTGTCTTTGTCCCATATGCATGTGTATGTATATGGTGCTCTCTATGTTAAAATGACCTTGTGTCCTGCCTTAGTGGAGAAGTTGGATAAATATACTTTACTCTATGGTACCTAGACTTTATGAATTTAAGCATAGTAGTATATTGGTGGCAAAGTATCATAATTTTACAGTAAAATGACTAGATGTGACCATAAGTTCTATGCTAACTGTTTCTTCTATTGCCCTTCTTGATTGGGGTACTCTTTTCTGACTTCAAACTTTAAATGCAACGTCTATTCTCATCTATCTTCTTAATTATTGTTCTTTTATTGTTCTCTCTTTTATAGTGTTTTTTTTTTGTCACATTCTCTAACAGTCAGTAATCCCTTGCATCTTAGTAGCTTTATTGTCTAAGGTAAAATGCTGATAAAAAAATAGGACAATAACAAGTTATTTCCTTAATAAATTTCAGATTAGATAATTATAATATATAATAATATTTTTTAATGATTTTACAAACTCCAACTCTTCATATCTATGATTATAAGTTGTAAATTTTCTTTTTAACTTATGAAAAAGAAAGTATATATTTCTTAAAAAATATATTCTGAATGGGATATGATAATGACTAATAAATTCACCAGTCTTAAAAAATAAAACATAAGACTCTCAAAAAAGTTAATTAGAAGATAACACTTAATGAATATTTGCTCCTTTTTAAATACTATTGAACAAAAGTAAAAAAAGAAAAAAATGAGATGAAATGGAGAAAAGTAGCAAGGTCTCATTTAGAGAAAGCTTAATTAAACTCATTGAATGTTCAACTTTTTCTGTTCTTCTAATTAAGTGGACAGAAATATAAAAAGAAAATGCATAATGTTAAACGCAGGCAGCAGCAAGGAAATGAGCAATGTAGATAACACTATTAATAACACACTCATGAAAGAATAAACCCATCTAATGCTATTTATATTCAAGTGCTTCAGATGGTCAAGACATTTAATGGCTGAAATCTAAATTAGGCAGAACAAATCCAAAAGTGAAGAAAATAGACAAGCATTTTTCTAGTTCTCTCTTGCTTGACTGTCTGTAAACATCTGTCTCAGAATATCTTGAAATCTCTGAACAAGAAAATGTCTCAAAGTGTCAATGTTCTTCAGATTATTTACTAACTTAATTATGTTAGTGTTTTTTATTTGTTTTGTTTTTTATAATTTTTCTAGTTAAAAAAAAAAAAAAAAAAGAAAAAAAGTAATATTTTTAGGTCCAAATTCATACAGCATATCATTTTCCTAACAAAAATAATGCTACTACATTGTGGTATATTTAAAAAACAACATTTTCTTAATCATTTCACTTCAAGCAAGGCAATAAAGTCACTAAGACGCAAAGATTACTAAGTGTTAGATAATAGGACAAAAAGAAAACATTATGGTGAGAGAACAATAAAATAACAGAAATTAAGAAGACAGAATATAACAATTTGCATTTAAATTTATGAGATCAAAGTTGTCTGGAAAGTAAGAATCAGGAAGAAAGTTCCATAAGTGAGAAATGTAAGAACAAACTGTTAGTATAGAAATTATGGCTACATCTAGACATTTCAACTATAAAATGAGACACTGCTGCCAATCTCATCGTATACTTAAATTCATGAAGTCTAGGTATTCTTATCAGAACAATTACCATGAAAATATTTATAGAAAAATGTAAATGTTGATAAAACATTGATAAAAACAAAAATGGTAGTAAGCTTAATGATGTTGACTGGGTTGTGTTTCTAGATACATTGGACACCAGAAATTTAAACATCTCTGCATTTTCAGTGTTTTTCTCTCTCTCATATATATATATATATAGTCAACATACATTTGTATTTGTTTCTTTCTCCAATGTATATTTGATCCTATCAATAGTCTGAAAACATTGAAGGACAAAAACACATAACAGAAATTTTTTTCCATTTCATCATTCAATTAAGCATCATTAGTCTGATATATGCAGTCCATATATCATATTCCCCAACTTTTTTTTTTTTTTTTAAATAAAAGATCACTTGATCGTATTTTAACAGCAGAAGATAAACATTTTCAGCATATTATGCTTCTGTATATAAACACTTCTGCTGTTAGTGACTCACTTATACATCTTTCTAAAAATTACATTGCCTACTGTTGATGTATATATACATTTTTAAGACACTTTTAGAATTATTTCCAAAGTAGCATACATACAGTGTGCATCATAAATACGTCCCACATAATGATAAGACAATAGTGATGCAATGGTGTCTTCATCTAGCTAAAGTCTTATTATTATGTGGGAGGTATCTCTGCCACAACCTATTTCTGACATATTTTTTATTACATATGTTGGAGGAGGGGTGTTGTTTAGCTTAGTCTGTACTAGAGAGTACCTAATCAAGACAAACATTGGTGCCTATGGGAAAGTGGTATCAACATCTTTGTAGCCATTTTATTTCTAGTAAATGATAATTTCCTATTTTCTCCAAAATGAGCCAGCACAGCTAGGCAACAATACTATAAGAAGGAGGCAGTGAAAATGTTAAGGAAAAAATGCAACTGAAATGCAAGGACTGATTCTGTAGATTATGAAAATGGTACTGAAGAAGACTGACAGTGTTGGAAATGGTTCATGAGGTTTGGGGCTGGAGATTTTTCACTGAACAATGATCAATACTGAGGTTGATAGTGATTAATATCACATAGCAAGTGAAATAAACCCCTATAATTATAGCAAAGGCTAGACTTCATCTAAAAGGTGATACTGTATATATGGTGGGATTGGAAAATAGTTCTTTGTGATACAATTTTTGGGATGTGCAGGTGATGCAACAAATAGCAGCTCAAAGAAATTTTTGAGCCGAGTTCAAATTCCAGTTGAGTTACATTACATTTGCTTTCTTGCAAACTTGGAAAGGTATAAATCTCTTCTACCAGCTATGGCTTAAATAATAAAGCAGACTGAACTCATCAGCCTCAGTTGACAACCAGTTTAGGAGAAGGAAAACTGAATTCAAGACCATATGTAACTCCTACTGACTAACTCATCTGATAGATGGAATGGATACACTTCTTCAGAAAACCAAATGATCCAGACAAGTCTTTTATATGCTATATACTTTCAGAATGAAGGTGATCATGGCTCTCCACCATTTTTTCAGGCTGTTAGCAGCAGTTTCCTTATAGTTGTTGTGGGTATTATCCTTTTCTTAGCTAAAGCTTTTAAAAGGTAACTCCTTGATCTCCATTCAAATAAAGACATGGTCATG